CCAGAGAGCCTTGCGCATTTTCATTGTTATTCAGATTTTTAATCCCCTTGGAGATTAATAAAACAATTAGCACTAATTGCACTACAAAAGAAAGTTAGCAAAGCATTCTGGGTTATAGTAAATGACGCCATAATGCAAATCGGCTATTTGCGGCTACGCCATTTTTATACATACAACAAGTCCGCAAAGTCAACTGATAGTCCTCTCAATTTTTACAAAATTTGATGCCGTTTTTATATTTTCCTTTCAGATACGGCATAACTGTACTTCTATTTTGTTTTAATCGCAAAAAAAGACGGTTAAGGATACAAGTTTTGGCGAGCATGAAAAAAAAAAAAAAAAAATGCAAGGGCTGCAACTCATGTAAGACTTTGCCAAAAAAAAAAAAAAAAAAATGCAAGGGCTGCAACTCATGTAAGACTTTGCCGCACAAAATGGCGTCGCTGAATATTGTCCCATAGAGCATGCGTCTCACGAGAAAGCGCACGTTGGACCATTATTTAGCCTTTTTAGATCTTCAGAACAAAAATGGGAGAAGTTTTAGTTGTAGAAAAATATTYCCTTAAGAGGTCTGACTCCGTTAAGCAACGAAACGCCTAGGAAATTAATTTTTTTTTATCAGCTATTCCAAGAGTTCTCCTTAGTATACTGCTCATGGTCATGATTATCATCATCATTGTATTCCGCTTTACAGAGAATTGTCTCCTAGGGGTCCGTTCATAAAACACTTCTCTCTGTCCATCATCTAATCTGCTGCGCATCCATGCCAAACAGTCTTTCTAGCCTTGTCAACTTTAGGGACCKCTCATCAAATAACATGACTGCTTTCTGATGTCTGCATTGTCCATCCTGTAAAAAAATAAAAAATAAAAAATAAAAAAAAGATGAAGGAATAATACAAGCCAACGTTAACGAAGATTTTGAAGTTGCAGCTAGGATGTTGCATGATAAAGAAAATTAAAATTGTTTTTTCAAGCTAGAGACAACTCAATTTTCTTTATCGTTAACAAAGATTGTTTTATGTCAACAGGTTTTATATCTGATGTCAGTGGTTCATACCATCCTGTTTTCTTCACTGCTGCCGGGATTCAACTGCTGTCTATCTGTTTGATTCAAACAACTCAGTGGATCAAGCGTAACACTAGAACACAAGAAGAGTTAAAAATACTGGAGCAAGAGGATCTGATAATAGTT